GAGAGGGCTGTACTTATTCGTCCTGTAAGTCCTTTAGAAAAAGAAAAGTTATTTTTCTTAACGGCGGTATAGACGACTAGCAGCATGCTAATAACCGGATAAGATCGGTGTTTAATTTTATGTATAAATGTTGATACGTCGAAATCCTTCATCGCACACTGTGGACTTCGTCAGGGGGCTTTGGTCATCACTCCTGTTCAGCATCTGCATTGACAGGATAGTCACATGCATCCAAGAAGACGAGGTTGAATTCAGAAGGCTTCTATCGTGGATGACTTCATCTTAATGGCTTCAGCTCAAAAGGATCTCCTAGCTTGATAGGTTTGAAGATGAACGCGGAGTAGCTGAAATGCGGATAAACATAATTAAAACGGAGCAGCTGCTGGTCTCTCAATTTTTTTCTCATTGGGCTTTGCATGTTAATGGAACCACACTGAGATAGGTCGGGAGAAGTTCAAAATTCCTCAGGATCATACTCTACGAGTGACGAAGAGATCGAGTGATGAATTGAAATGACAAGTGGAGTGGTTTGTGATCTGCTCCAGCTGGTTGTAATACAGGAGAAGCTGCGTCTCTGAACAAAGTTTCAGTGTTCAAACTGGTTTCCTTCTCCATTCTCCCATTACGACCATGAAGCTTGAGTAATGGCAGAAAAATGAGATGTGTAGTACAACCGGCCGAGAATGGGATTTTTTCAGATTAATCACCGGAATAACGCGTTTGGATAAAATCCGGAGCTGAGTGGGTGATGTGATTGGGAAATCCATGGTGATCCAACAATTTCTCAAGATTGGACGATCGTATCTGAGAGAGAGTTCCGCCATGTCCTGATCGCCGTCAGAATGGAGTCAAAGAGAAGGGCTGATTGCTCGATGGACAGACAGAAAAATTCTGGGAAGGTCGAGAAGGCCTGGTGCAAGTGAATCAAATACCTATGGTCCCTGGTTCAGAACTTATCATCCGAGGAGGACTGCACCGCTCAGTATCGACGACAGTAGCGTCAACTCTTGAACGCACCGCCACGTGTGCCGATGTGAAATGCACATCCAGCATATGCATGG